CCTCCATCTTTCCATTCAGCCACCTTTAGAGTATAGCCTTCATCCTCATGCCTGCTGGCTGCCTCATTCCACTTCAGGCACTTGTAGCCACATTTCAAGGAGTAGAAAGTGAAAGAGAGGGAGGCAAAAGGCAAACACAGTCTGCTTCCCAATCAGCAGTCGGATCCAGCACCTTACACTTATATCTCATTGGGCAGGGTTATGTCACTTGGTCATCTCTAGCTGCAGTGGATGCTGGGAAATGTAGTTTTAGCCAGGCACTATCACCTGAAACAAACAGTGAGTAGGAAAAAGTGGAATAGATATTGGATAGTCAATTGCAATGTTTGCCACAATACTGCCATCTAAGGCAAAATGCGAGGCTGCATGAGCATGAAGCCTATTTTATTATTATTATTTATTATTATTATTATTATTAACATTTCATTATTATTTTATCCCTATTTTAGATAAGATAGGTTGTAAAATAATGGAGGGACGGGAGCTATGCAGAAAGATGAGTAGCATCATCAGTAGGTGGATAATTTTGACACAGTACATCACCTGCCTAAACGGTTGACTAGTGCACGTGTATAAACCATATATAGCTTTAGTTCTTATGTTTTTCTTTTTGGTGGCAATCACAACTCTCAAATTAGAGTTGCATAGAGAACATTGCTACTGGAGCTGCAATGCCGTCACAGATTAAAGACCAACTCAAAGACACATTGTAGGTAAAGAAATATTTTCCCAAACTGAGCAGACCCCCTCATGTCACTTGAATGTAGGCAAAATGAATCTTGCAGCACTTGGGAAAGAATGGTGACATTTATTTTCTTCAATTCTTGGATTTTCCAAAGTTATTGTCTTCAAGGAAGAATGTCTGCTTTCCTGAATAAGGCACAAACTATTTAAATCTTTAGTTTGAGATCCACCCTTCTGGAGAATCTTCACACTACTAGAATAATTTAAGTGGGACACTCAGTAAGTCAGCTTGGTGAGAAAGGAATAATGTTCTTCAAACAAGACATCCAATGGGGCCTCTGCAAGAAGATGTGCCCTGTGTCCTTAAGGAAGGATGAAGAAAAGCCCTTTCCCTGTATTGTTAGCAAAACCTGTCTGCCATCTCCTGCCCTAAATTTAAAATCTAGATTACTGAAATAATGGCTACTCCCAAACCTTCTTTTTCCCCCCCACCAAGATTTTTATTGGGGAATTGGGGGATGGGAACAGCACTGGGGAATTGGGGGAAGGGGAACAGACAAGTTGCTGTCGTTTTGTTCTTCAGTCTAGCCCGGCTCCAGGTTGAGCTGTTGTTCAGCATCTTAGCTGTGGAGGGCAGTGTCACTGGCCCTCATATGTGGGATCCGAACCGGGGCCCTCTGGTGGCCCAAGCCAGCTCTTAACCAACGTGCCACTCGGCCGACCCTCCCGAATCTTCTTATTGGTTGAATAAATTCGGGTTTCATTTTACTTGAGCCATCATAAGATACCTTCCCCTATCTTAGGGCTTCTAGTTTCTGAAGAGTTTGGGGGCATGCTACTGCAGGGAGCCAAGGTTATCAGTTAAATATGTCTTAATAGAGATGCAATTGTGATTAGCATTTCTTTATTACATCCCATCTTCCAAATCCTATTCAAACACTGAACTTGGGGTGGAAGTGGGGAGGGTAGGGAGGGGACAGGATTGGAAAAAGATGGAGAAATGCCATAATTGCATGTCTAACTCAAGCCAAAACATACTTTAGCCCCAGTCTATTCCCGGCAGAGGCACTTGTGGCCTGAATTGTCCAGCCGATTGCCCTGACTCTATACTTCTCTTTTCATGTGTAGATACTACCCAGCCTGAGTTATCTTGACCATCCTGCTGGGCGGCTGCAGGACTCTCCATGTATATGTTCTGTTTTACATGAGTGATTATTGAGCCACAGAGAAAAGGAGTTTTCTTGGTGCATGGCTGGGCCAGGATTACTCTGTGGTGGTGTATCTCCTACCAGAAAAATTCCAGAGTCAGATCAAGAAACTAGTCAGATGCAGTGCTTGTTTTTGCAGCCAGCTAAGAAAAATGCCAAATAGCAGCAAAAATACATTTCTTTTTTTTTTTTT